TACACTAAGCTACTGCAAACATGTCCTGACTCTAGGTCCATATTTAACCCAGACATGGGGGTGATGTCAGTCTGCTGATGTACACTTAATATTTAACTTCTCTTTTATGTGAGCTTCAGCTACCTTGGATTAATTTGAGGATACAAATGACCATCATCTATTGGCCATTAGATGAGCTGCATTCTAAAGCCCACTCATGCATGTGATGATTGTAGGTTGATGGTGGCAGACGAACTGAAAAAAAAAGTTTCTTTCTCAGTAAAAATCCTTTAGAATTATCACTGGATGTGCTTTTTCTAGTGCACCACCACAGTCATTGATGTGGAAACAATTGTGGAAATTTTCTTTAATGTGACATTAAACATTTGATTTAAAATGAAGTTTCAGCTCCCTCACCACGACTGCATGTTTTATACCTGTGCTGCATTTAAGGCCGATATGAAGACTTGAACGTTGCATGTGTTTTTTTTATCCTAAACACTCACTGACCTCTGTTAACCCCTGGATGAGGGTGGTGTTTTTCCTCCAACCTTCTAGGCAGCTTAGAAATACGTTCTTATGTCCAAGCCCAGGGCCCGAGAGAGGGCAACAGGGCAATCCACTTACCCTCCTCTCTCACCTTTGGTTCTGAAAAACCTGACCCTGTGAGGCACTGAGTTGAATGACAACACTGGCACTGCCTGGAATGCGATGTGAATATGACGGGAAATGGCTCAAGGACATTTGTTAGTTGGTAAAGAGGCTTTGGGATGAGTCTGGGGCGAGGGGAGGTGGACTGTTGATAATTATATGTTGTGGGGCTTAGTCAAGCCCAGAGACTGGAAATAGGCTGAGTCAGCCTGCGGAGACAATTACAGGATAGAAATGTGTTTGTGTTGTTAGGGGGGTATGAGAACAGCTGGATCAGGGCGACACCTGTCCAGCTGAAGGTGTTTGTGTGGGGAGGATTGCGGGGAAGGACGGAGATTGTATCACAATAGCAAGGAGTCAGATTACACGGCTGAGTTGGCTGAGATGACTTAAGTGTGTAATTAAAGTCAAGCTGCTCTCCGTACTGTCTGCTGGAAATTCACAGGTCCGGCAGGACAGGAAGCAAATAGATGACACAGGATGGAGTCGCGCGTCGAATAAAAAACTGTCTGTCATTTGGTTCCAAAGAGAAATACAGTCATTGAAATAATTATTTTAATTTAATTTAACATTCTTTTGTGACATTTTTTAGCTGTTTCGAAAATTGACCTGCATCTCGTTCATGCTGTTAATGAATAAAGATGACGTGGACACCATAGATGACTTTAACTTATATAGTTTATACAGCCAACTATTCCGACCTAGGAATTACCTTCATAATGAAGTGTTAACGTGTGAGTCTTTTATGTAATGATGCAGACAGTTAAGGGATCAGGTTGAGCCTGTGCTACAGTTTAATGTCAGTGTAAACCTGTTCTAACATGTAATGACTTCAGTTGTCTTCAGACCCTTTCACTGCTTCCCACATTACTATGTTGTAGATTTACCTTTTAAGATGGTAAAATTTACAGCAATCTAGTATAATCTTTTGGTTGCAAATGTCAAAAAATCAAAAATTGAACTCTGAAAGTATTCAGACACTTTGAGTTGACATTCCAAGCTGTGATCAGGTGCATCCTGTTCACTTTATTTTCCTTGTCTTACACTGAACCGGTATCCATTGATAGTAAACTGAATTGGAAGCCCATAGTTTAGAGACACACACAAACAGGTGAGTGTATATAAAATCCTTCACTGCATGTTAGGACAAAGACTGAGCCCTGGAGAACTAAGTGATAGAATTGTGGAGAGGTATAGGATCAGGACATGTTTCTATAATTTTTGAAGCTTCTTCCCAGGAACAGTGAAATAACCGTTACCAGTGAGGGGCCTTTATCAGGGAGCTGACCAAGAACTCAACGATTACCCAGAGACCTTCAGCAGTTCTCTGCAGAGATGAGAGAACCAGCAAACACAGAGATTTTCTTAAAGAAAACCTCCTCCACAGTGAACACAACCTGACATTCAGTCAAATTTGTAGAAATCTCCACAAAAATGTATGTGGCCTGAGTGAGCGAGTCTCCTAACTTTAGCAAATTAATGAATGTCCTTTTAACATGTAGCTTACACACATAGTTTTGTGTCTGAACCTTTGGCCTTTGCTGAACTTACAACGAACCAGGAAAACTGTTGAGCAGTTCTAAAAGCAAAAAGCATTCTGGGGACAACATCAAGAATCTGAAAATAAATGAACAGATAGTTAACGTCTTTTACGTTTATCAGCTGATTTTGTTTTTCATCCTATGTTAGACTGTAAATCCCTGTACACGACACTGGCTTTGAGTGGCTCGAAGGTACTGCTCAAGAGACAGTAAACACTAATTTAGGCTCGCGAAGACACAAATACACAAGTGTTACAATACAGTGAGGTAATTGTGAAAAACAATACGCCTCAGTTGTGACTGGCTGAAGCCACAATGGAAATGTGGTTACATGCTTTCAACTATTTTTCCCAGCTTTTGGCAAAAACAGGAAATGTGTTTTCTAGCCTACGTGGAAGAGAATTTATTTTGGGAGTTATGTTTTCCTCATGTAGCACGAGACTCCAACAAGAGCTCACCAAATCACAACAGTGACTTTATTGGAAATACATTAGTTAAGCCAGTTTTAAATCCTACTGAAAATTAATTAAAGAGCAAACTTCTTTTGTACCTTGTAAATTCATTATTATATTAAAGATGATAATTAGGCTTCTAGAAATAGAAAAGGTGCTGTAAGGAATAGGTTTGTGATTCTTTTTGATTGATGTACACATTTATCTTTTTTTTTTGGTAATTTGTTGTTGGAAGAGTTTGGGTTAATTGCTTTTAGCCACATGTGATCCATGAAAACAGGGACGCTGTAGCTTTAAAAATGCCTCACATTTTGTTATGAGCCAAGTTGGAAAAACTCCTTCATTAACGGAGCTCCACTACCAGAATTAATCCGGTGGAGCCTGAAAGATCATTGTGTGACAATATGCATCTAAATGTAAAACACACAGCAGCAGAGAAAGAGCCTGAGGAGGAATAGAGAAATGATTTCCAAAATGTTGGAATCTCTGTGCTGGTGTGATAAAACCTTTATGTATTTAGCTGTGAAGTGTCGTTGGCAGCAGAAGATGGAAATATAAATCAAATAGTAATAATAACCTCAGCCTGACCCAGTAACAGCCTTGGCCCTAGGTTCTCAATCTTTTGAGCAACTCACTCACAGTTGACATTATCTCCCTTTCAAGACACGAAAACCCGGTTTCCCTGATCTGATCTGAAAGTTAACAAACTAAATTTGCATTTTCACTAAATTCACTTTCCGGAATACCCTCCTCCTGCTCCTCCTCTTCGGGGAACTCTGGGTGTGTTGCTGTTCTGTTGAGCGATGGACTTTGAAATCAAAGCAAGATATTTTCAGAGGAAATGCTTCTGTAAATAAATCTATAAAAAAAGGTTTGATCAAAATATTCTGTTTGTGGTCCAATTTAAAAAAACATTTCTTAATTTGAGATTTTCAGTAACGCCAAATTACAATCAAAGTCAGAGCACTCCAAATCACTTTCAATCAGCTGACATCCTGTTTCTGACCATTTAGCTGTGAATCATGCAGCAAAGGCCTCTGCCCATCACAATCTCAACATCCTGTCTGCCTTAATTAAACCACACAGAAGGAAGAGAACATCCTCGTGCACACATGTGCATGACAACTTTTTTATATGTTTATTTCTGCTGTGCTGTCTCTACTATGACTTTGGCTTTTGTTCAAATTCACACAGCATGCTTCAGACTCCCTTCTTCAAAGTTCCGCTCAGAGAGAATAATAGGATGGCTGCTTCAAAGAAAATTGAATCTCATATTTGCCTTGGCAAGATCACCACTTCACCCTGCAGGAAAGCACCCAACCTCCCCTTTTGCCGGAGTGTGATCTAACACTCTAGGATTACATTCCTTAAAAAAATGGCGCTTAGTTGCTGGTTTATTCCAAGTACTTGCTAGCAACCCTCAAGCTTAATCAGGGCCCCTGCATCTCCTTTGGGGGGGAAGAGGGAATGCTTTTTTGTCTCTGCTCTTAAGATTCAAAGGATGGAAGGAAGGAAAATGTAATTTGACTGACAGCTAGATATATCAAATTGCCCACAATTTGAAAGAGGAGAGGATACATGTGACTGCTCCCTGTCATAGTCTTAACCGAAGCTTCAGATCAAAGCTGCACATTCATGTCGAAAAACAATGAGAAATTGTACGGATCCTGTGGTATTTGAGTCAAAAAATAGAAGGATTACATAAACGGCAGTCCCCTGATTTCACCCCAGTTATATCACTGTAGGTGATGGTCCACATTCAACAGAATGGTTGAAATACCAGCATGTCTTGCATGTCTTACTAATGTATTTTCTTGAAAAAGCCCTGAAAATTAAATACAGTTGTACATTGGCCAGCTATTATATAATTTGGCTATTGTAAGTCAAGCAAATCCACACTCTGGCAAGTACACTAGAGTTCAGCTTAAGCTCAGGTATTTCAAGGCCTTGTGTTGTTGACGTATTTGAGGCTGTGTGAAAACAATAAAAATTGGCGGTCCAGAATTGCAGATGTTGGAGAATGTTCTCCAGTCTCTTCAGTAAAGAGAAATGACAACATATTGTGTTCATGAGCAAAGACCTAGGACAGAGAGAACAATTAGCGGTGGATCATCTGGGACTTTAACATGAGTGAGTGCTGTTTGTTTCATGTTTTATATGTTGGTTTCTTTCAACTCTAACCACATTTTTAACAATGACAGTGAGAGTACCCCGATCTTATTCAAGACGATATTTTAAGCCACGATATTTTAAGCCACGATCTTTCTGCATCAGAAATTAACCAAACCTTGGCCATAGTGGTTTCAAACCATATTATAACAGTGTAATGTTGATGGACTGAAATCAATAAATCTCTCTTTCCTTATCTGTTTTGTAGGGAAAGGAGACAGAGATGCAGTATTGGATAGCGAGGTTGTCCTGACGAAAATGAAGCTCATCAGTAACTTCCATGAGAAACTCCTGATGTCTGGTGACTCTACGTCCACAATGTCTACAGTATCAGTTTCTGAACAGGACATATCGGCTCTCACCAAAGCCTCCGAAGTGAAGTCTGGACAGCCTCAGATGGAGACCAGCTCAGACTACCTGCCTGCCGATTTCTCAGACTCTCAGCTGCCGAGGTTATACAAGTTTGAATCAGAGGACTCTGGAGTGGATCTTCCAAGTGGTGCTAACTCTCCATCCACCCCGACAGGCTCTGAGCAGAGCTTTGTGGTTCACAGTCGAGAGACCTCCTGCGATTCCTCCTGCAACTTAAACTCTGACCCTACCGTTCTCCCTGATAAACTAGTCAGACATGCACACAACTCTGAGATTAAACAGGCAGAGGACTCGGTGGATAACAGTTTGGGCACAACAGTGAATACTCAGGACAGTGTGTCCATACACTCAGAAGAACTCTGCTCTTCAGCTGTGACAGCAGAACTGCACATAGATAAGGATGTGGATAGAGACCAGAGTAGGGTTTCAGGAGATAGTCCTGAAGGAGATGAGATGTCTGAACAGCTTGAGGAGACCAGGGCTGTAACTGAGAGGACCTGCTCAGAGGACACGAGGCCTGGGAAGCAATTCTCAACAGGAACCTGTGATGACATGTTGGGTTGTGACTTACAGTCAGAGCCTAGAAGGAGGAGTGCGACCATTGACAGCCTGGAGGAGTACATGGACGAATGCTGCAGACTTAGTGAGGTAAGAAAAACATGTCTAAACATCCATGAATTTATCCATCCATTTTCTCAAACACTTCCTTGGTAGCAAGACATGTTCCCAGGCCAGATGGGATAAGGTACGTTATCCTTCTGGCGAAGTCTGCATCCATCACAGGGCGCACTTCTAATCTTAAAATGTTAACCTCACAAATGTATAAAACTTGCATCCAATATCACATATAACAGTGTAATTTGATACGGCGCAGACACAATTCAGATTGAGTGTAAAGGACAATTGTCCCTTCACTTGATTAGCATGACTTGAGGTTATTTAAGAACTAACGCGCTCAATAATCTAAACCGTAATTTCAAAATTTTCTACACATGTAGCTTTTCTGAGCAGTAATCAATTTGCCGTAGTACAGTGTCCCTGTGCTTCTCCAGTGTTTCCTCTTGTTTTCCTCTGGACCTTTTTCAACTCCTACGGCTACATTTTTGCCTTAACTCATGACGTCCGGGGTGAATTTACCCCTGCCAATAAAATCTGAATACCCTTCCATCAAAACATGGTGAACTTTAGAAACGCTTTCCATCAAAGCGCACTCTTACATAGATGCTGTCACCTCTAGTGATTTCAGGATGAAACACTGCACTTCAAACAATGAAAACAACTTCACAGAGTCAAACACTATTGGACAATACACTTCTCTGTGTGATTGTGTGTGTGTGTGCTCATACTTGAGGAAAATTCCCTTTTTCTGCCCTCTATCATGTTAGACTTCAAACCTGTCCAGCCTCTATGGCTCCAGGTAATTGCATCACTGCAGCTGAATAAGGGTTCAGAGAGTCAGTGCAGTTTCTAGAACATGTTTATAGGTGTGATTCACACATGGGGGCCCTTCAATTTGTCAGATATTCTCTCCAAGTTAGTAGGTTAACGAAATGACTGAAGCTGTGAAGCTGTGTCTGTGCTTTTATTTCTGCCTGTCCCAGAGACATGACAAACAGATGAACTCATTCATAAGGACCTGCACGGGCATGTCTCATTCATGTTACAGGAAAAAAAGAGTCATTTTCTTATTTACATTCAAAAGGAGAGAACAAAGTGGGCTCTACAGAGAGAGCACCTGACATCTGTGGAAGCTGCAGAGTCATAATCACCTGTTTGAAGTTCCTGGAAACATCAGAGTCAAGTCTCCAGACTGTCTTTCATTACCAGCTGCTTTTAGAATGACAAGCCTTCAATTTTCACCTGGAGAAGTAACTGTAGAAAAGCAACTAAATGCAGGTTTATTGGACATTTTAATCAACTCTATTCCTAAAAGACAAAATACTTTAAAAGTATAACATTTGGCACTTGCTAAAACCTTTACTTCTGTCAAATAGTTGAGCATCACGACTATGGACTAGTTGCATCTCCATACTTATGCAGCTCAGACTCTGCATTACAGTTTTACAAGTACATTTCAAAGCTACAGATATTTCACCTCATTTTTCATATCAAGCCCAAAGGCCCTTCTGGAGACAAGTTTTTTATTTCTGCCGGCACCAAAACATGAGAGCCTTCTACAAGACAGAGGCAGTGTGGTCGGGAGGGGCATGTGTTACAGTGCGTGGCCGCTTTCTCCAGGAGCCCGCATGTCATACAGCACCTGTTCATCTGCGCTGGGGGACGAAGATTTTTTCTAGCGATACTGTCGCCGGCTGCCGGCTCCTCTCATCTGGACCCTACCTGTTTTCCAAGCCCTGCGCTTGGCGGCAAACCTGGATGCATCAAATAGGTGTCAAATATCTCGAATTACTCACATTTTTACCCAGATAAAGGCTCTTTGATAGGTCCCTGGGGCCCTTGTGAGGTACAGTAATGGCATGTGAGCGGCAGCTTTTGGGAGCCCAGCATGCCAGACCCTAGGAGTGCATTGCTGACAGGCAGCATGGTGGTGTGGCCCCAAACGTTATAATCATCACTTATCGCCACTGCTAATAATGTAATTCCTTCCCCCTGCTAAATGGAACTCTGTACTCTGCTTAAGAGGGATGCTGGATTCAAATATGTGAACATTACAGACTTTCTCTGTGTTCACCCACATGCCGTCTCTCTCTTTACAACTCTACTTCTTTGTCTGTCATTAGAAAGAACAAGAATGGACTTTATAATCTGCAAATCTCAAGGCTCAGATGCTGTGGATAGGGAGTGCATACTGTCATATTTCCAACATCAGGCATTAATAGTGATCATATGGACCTGTTTAGCTGCGTGTTTGATCTCACACTTGGTATTCATTTTCAAAGCATACTTCATCAGCACTATTGTGAAATGTAATTAAAATCTGAAGCCTAGGCGCTTCTGGTTTACTTGAATTCCTCAGCTGCACAACACAAGTGTGAATGTGAACCGTTTGCGTTTATGGGCTCAGTAGGTTATTGGTAGGAATGAGTGTAGGTTTAATGTAGGCCGTCAACCATCGAAGGGCACAGCTCTGCTGCTTCAGACGTGCTTTCTGTAACACCCACTTCACGCAGTGTTTGGTGAGGAATGCAGAGGTGAGAGAGATGACAGGGTTCAAACTTCTCTCGTAAGTTGTTTTTCTTCGGTCTTCAGTGAAGTATTTATAGCAATGTTATGGAAGGAGAGATTGTATGGAAATGGGAATGCAAAAGAAGTTACAAAACAAGTTCAGCTGTTGTTGATGTGAGGCTTCAGCAGTTTCAAATATAGGCTGCATTTTCAGTGTGAGAATTTAGTGATGAAGCTGCATGTAGCAGCTGAATATCCCTCAACTCACTTTAAATCTCACACACTGAAGCTTTAATACACAACAACAAGGACTTTGGATATCGCACCCTATCACTTACAATGAAGTAATCTCACTGTAGACGGGAGGAACAATTTTGCAGCACCTTTTAGATGCTCTAGTCTCAGGCAAAGCAAAACTCACAAATCCCATTTGTACTATTTTTAATTTCCGCCATTGTATTTGAGAGTCTTAATCATCAGGGTTGATTTGATGTGCTATAAAGTGCCAGAAATTTTTTTTAACTTCAACAATCTAACCTTGCATTTAAAAAATTTCAGTTGTGCAAAACATATTTCACAGACAAAAAAGATTGTAGTTCTTAGAAAAAACTCAAATGTGGCTAAAACCTATAGCCTACATTTGTCATCAAAGCTCCAGTAAATTAGTCAGGGGCCAAATCCAGAAGAACAACACCAGCTCACAATGTCTTCCAGTTCCTGCCTGACTACTGTGAAAGATAAACTGCATCAAAGTGATGCAGACACACTATCTGCGTGTGTGTTGAAAAGACTGGTGTCTGGCTGGGAGAAGCAGCGTACGTGACCTGCACTACCTTCCTCCCTATCCCTTCCACACACATCTGGTGCTTCATTCCTATCCAGCACTGTCATGTTTAGGAAAGTATTTTGAATGCGAGAAAGATAATGGGAACATCTACAGGGGAGGGGCAGTTACCATAGGGATCTTGGATGTTTTTACTACTCTGACTCTTGTTTCAAATGTGAAAGAGGGAAAAATGAAATCATAAGGCAACGCTAACAGTGAAACCTGGAAGAGTGTTTGTAGCCATAGAGAGAGAAAAGTCAAAATAAATACCTTGACTGGGTATGTCACATTTCAGACATCCACCTGGCGGAAACACTGCTCCTTTTAGTTGATGGACACTGGGGTGTCTTGGGTATCTGCCTAAAGGACTCTTTTGAAGGTACTTCCAGGCATTTCCACCTGGGTAAAGACCCTGGAGTTGACCCAGAACTTGCTTTAGGGATTATATAACCCATCCGAGCTGATCTTGGGATACCCCAGAGGGAACGTTGATTCATAGGTAAACTTGCTGAATAATCATGCTCTTCATACCCAAATTGCTTGATCAGTGAATGGATAGCTATAAACCTCTCGTCAAACCTGTCTGATTTTGGAAAGGTGTGGAGCACTGGGTGACTTTCCTCTCATACCAACCAGAAGAGTGGTATTTCATTCACACTGGCCTTGAGTTGATTTGCGTGTGGCAGAGATGTTAGCCAGCTCTACTGGTTACTCTGGGGATCTTCACCTCGGTGACCAATCCTCCGTGTGCCTCTGGAGTTATCTTAGCTGGTTTTCCACTTCCAGGGGGGATAACCACAGAAGGTCTTTAAATTTGTCTTTTTGCAAATCAAATCAATCCCTTTGTTTTTTTGTGGAGTGTCACATATGTTTAGTAAAGTCAAAGTATCTGTTACACAACTGTCAGTCCTGCTTCATTGATTCAACACAATGGTTGTTAACTTCTGTCTCCAAATAGCTTTTGTGATTCCCTCCATTAGCCCAGGCATTCACCTTCTGTGACTGTTTGAACAATCAAATGAACAATACAGTAAGTTTTAGGAAATTAGAAAATTGGTTTGTAAATAAGAGATAAGATGTAACCATATTTTGAAATAAATTATACATACATGTTATTCAAAATGCAGGTAATTACAAAGGTTTCACTTATGTTTTCTTGACCATCAGATTACAACACATACAGATGATATGAAGGAGCAGTGGTTCCTTCCCACTCACAGGGTTTCATTTATCTTCCTCCGATGAGATTGTTGACCTGACGTCAGCCACAAATCCTCTCCTCAAACAATACCGGATTCAATGTTTCGTGCCAACACAAGCACAACTCACTGCTTGTCTCTAGGATTACTCGTTCTTGTGTTATACACGCAAGTTTTCACATGCAGTCAGTCTCTCGTGATAGACATTATTGCCCCTTGACTCATGGGATCAGCGGAAACCCGAGGAAGCGCAGCAGGGTGTGTGTGTGTGTGTGTGTGTGTGTGTGCGTGTGTTTGTTTGTGTGTGTTTGTCCATTTTAAAATGGGCCTGTGCACACAAAAGAGGGCCTTCCTGAATCCCACTCTCTCTTCCCGGCTGTGGATCACTCAGTGGTCTCTGTGGGGCTATGGATAAGATCACTTTCAGCCCTGATAATGTCACAGTCTCAGCCAGAGCAGCTTCTGTTGATAGACCCCCCCCATTAACAACTGAGGAAGTGAGGGTCATCTCCTGGAAGGCCTTATCTAAATAAGCCACCGATAACCTATTGGAGGCCTGGTAGGACGAATGAAGAAAAGAGGTTCTTAGGAGTCAACAGATGAGGAAATCCACCTGCCAAATATTATACTAACCCTTTGAACCCGACTCCTGCATTTTGTTTCAAAAACGCTCCCTTTTCAGTGATTGCAGTAAGTCTGACATACACTGCCAACCTCATAAGTTAAGATCTTACTTTAGAGTCATGTTTAGATTCATTTTTGAAGGTAAAGAACCCTGGTTATGTATCCCTTCCAAAACCATCATCAAGACGGATGCTGACTTGGTTCCAGAGCAGTCTCCATTGCATTACAGTTACATTTGTTTCACTGTCCCAAAACCCAGAAGTGGTCCAGGTACAGGTTGTGTACACTGAGGAGTGGGTTGTGACATTAAGACATCATGGATCTCTACAGAATGAAAGCAGTTGTTGGCAAGGCGGGTCGAAACAGCTTCAAAACAATCCACAACCATTTCTAGATCCACTGTGGTATTGGGTTATTGTTGTATGGATCGAGGCCAGACTTTTACGTGGCTCTGGACCTGATAATTTTTTTGCTATCATGTCTCTGACTTTGACTGCTATATTAAGTAAGAGAAGAAGTGTGAGAACAAAACAAAACAATACAGACGCAGGCTGTAAAAGCGAAACAGTGAGCTATAAGATGAACTTCAGAGTTTGGTGATACATTTTAGCATTTCAAAACATTCATAGTATTTACAGTAATTTGACGTAATATCAATATAAAAATATTGACTAATACGTATTTCACACAAAATAAATATTCCAGAGTTTATGTTTTATGTTAAATATATCACAGTATGTAATACTAGAGCAATCAAAAGTATCCAAGGTGCCATGTGGGAATGAGTTCATGGTCAAGAGCATGTGTGACCTACAGAAGGTTTGTGCATCAGAGGAAATGAGTGATGTCAGTCCTCCAGCCTGTTGTGGCTGCTGGCCCATTGTTTGGCTAGTATTTCCATCATGCCTCCCAGTTGCCTGACTGGAGTTTCAGTGTGAGCAGCACAGGAAAGAGGGGAGAAAGACCCTGACCTGAGCTCACATCCTGCTTTTGTTGGGACCCTTTTAGGAATGTTGACGAATGGATAAATATTTGCTCAAAATTTCCTTTTTTCATTTTGTTGAAAAACGTGAACACCTGCACCTCCTGGGCAGATTCTTGATGATGCACTCACACATAAGACAATTTAATCCTGCAACATCTCTTTGATTTTTTTTTCTCTCCTTATATGAGTTGGAAGCAAAAATAAATGAAATGTCTGTCGACTGTGTTATTTCACATTCATTTTTACATTATGAATGTGGACAATTAGACATTGGTCATCTGGTATGCTTTGATTATGACAAACTAAGTATCACAGAGACATATTCTTTTTTCATTGTTTGTCTTTGTTGGATGATGTTAACACAGATGATTGAAATTATCAGACAGATGTAGTGGAATGCTTTACATGAGCCATAAAATAAGCTACACCAAAACATATATTTACCTAGAGCACGTCAAGCAAGAGCTATTTTTAAATGTAGACCCGCTGTTCAACCCCAGCTGGGACTGTAACATCTGGCTTAAACTCACTTGCTACTGGCCTACTTAACAAGGCAGGGTCAGTCAAACCCCCAGTGCAGGTTTACAAAATGTACAATGCAATTCCAGAAGGGGGATACTTAATTTGTCTAGCTTATTCCTGGTACTTGGATAACTTACATGCCTTCTGTTTGTCACAGGCACAGGAAGTGAGTTCCAACCCTCTGGGTTCAGGCCTTGGTTACCTGGAGCACATCTGCCAGCTCATCGAGAAGATCGGCCAGCTGCAGGAGACCAACCTCCGGCTGCAGAGGCAGATCTGTGGTCTGAAGAAAGACAGCAAGATGACAAAGACCAAAGAGGTGAGTGACTGTTCTTTCACTTATGTTATTCTCAGGGTAGAGGTCTAATACGAACAAGCAATAGCACTGCCTTCTTGGGGCGTCACCCCTGTTTGTGGTTTACCTGCTTATCTCAGCTTAGTCTTCAAATCATATCTGAAAGCCTGTATCACAAACTAGATGTGCAGAGTTTGAGAGATGTGGGCATGTACAGGAATATCTAAATTATGGTTTCACTTTTGTTATGGATACTTGTATTACCTTTTAATAAACACATGTAAACAAGGTCACTTTTTAAATACACACATATAAAGTCACTGACAGCAACATTTTTGTTTTCTTAAGAGTGCTGTACCCTAGGTACCTAGTGGTTGAAAATACTGCCAAAAATATATATTTTTAAAATACACAGTTACTATTTGCTTTTGTGTTTTGTTCCATTGTGCGTACATTTATGTATCAGCTAGAACCAATCAGCACTTACTGCTCAACAGAATCCAGTGTGATTTGTGGGCTGTATTATAATCTATCATGTACAGGGTTCTCTAAACAAGGGGATTCATTGTTAAAGGCCTTGGCACAATAGGAAATTCAGAAATCCTGAGACTGACACTGGTGCAGTCACTTTTGGGTTTAGAGGCCGGAACAGCTGAACACTGGAGCAGTGGATGAAGACAGCAGGAGTCCAGAACTTCAAAGCTTTCAAAGAAACTAAGCCAAAGAGACGGAGAGAGAGAAAGAAGAAAGGGAGGACTCAGTGTCACTTATTTCATTCATACAAGCAGCCTTCATAAAAAATATACCTTTACATTACAGAGTAGCTTTAACCCAACTCTGGAGCAATATATAAAATTAGAACATTCATGTTACATATTGTAGATGACAATGAAATTAAATAAATAAAGTGAAATATTTCCTTATCCACATCAAGACTGAAACATGCCTGAATATGATGGACCACACCGGCGGCTCTCCCAAGCCTTTTTTGTCTGATTCCCTGCTGTGATATTCTCAGTGGCAAACCCACGACTTGAGACAACGGCAGCACATCAAAAGAAGAGAGGAGCAGCCTGAGCTGGAGCACTGTCTGAGCTCTGAATGGACCTTTCACACACTGATCTGCTGCAGCATTCACATCAGCACCACTATCACAGCTGGATACAAGAAGGCAGAAAGAGGCCGAGCAAAAAGCAGTGACTGTTCCACACTGTCACAGAAGTGACAATAGTTAGAAACATAGAACATGAGGTACTGCAGATTTACATCATACATTTTGCTCTCTTAGCTCAGTGCACAGCAGGAATGCCTCTCATTGTTAAATTTAAGAGAAAAGGTGAAGTATAGATGCTGTGGAAAATCCAGAATTAACACAAGACTAACAGCCTGCAGCCACAAGACTCACAGACACTGGTAGCTAAAGGTTAATACACAGTACATACTAAATTTACCATGTTCACCATTTTTGTTTAGACAGTGGAAAGCCAGCATTTGTTGCACAAAACACAAAGTACAGCTGAGATTTACAAAATACAATTTTAGATAGGAAATTAACAAAGTTTTAAAATAAATATGGGAAAGCCACACTGATGTTTTTACTATTTTTGTGAGATTAAGCTTTGTTCCAAGCATGACTGTGGCATCCAGCATGACAATCATCTTCCCCTATGCTCTTGTAGAATATAAATGAACAGTGGTTATGTAAGAAAACTGTGTTGATATCAGAAGGGAAAACATGTGCGTGTGTGTGTGTCTGTGTGTGTGTAGGCTGGTGTGCACTTGGCTGTGTTGATCTAGAGGCCCATTAGAACCCTGCCTCCACAGCAGGGGAAAGGTGAGAGAGGTTAGAGTAAGCAGAGCAGGGAAAGAGAAATGTTTTGACAAAAATTAGGATATTAAGAAATGACTTTATATATTTTTCTTCTTTTGGGCGACTCCAGTGAAAACATTATTTCACACAACAGAAGAGCAAAAAAATAACGTATCATCTCTTGCCTCTTATCTTCTCCATGTGACACTGCTCATTTATCTTTTTTTCACTATTAGGAGATTTTTATAGCAGTGATGTCCTTACGTAATGTCCTTCTAGTTTGTGGGGAAGGATGTGAACTTCAATTAGACCGACTATGGGATGACTCAGTCATTTGTATTGTTCTTTTTTACAGGCACAAGAGTCACAGGATGAACTTACAGTTTTCTGACACACACACACACACGCTATTTTCTCTCCAAATTTCAGATTTTAAGCAGTAATTTTTTTCTGTACCACAAAGGCTCATTTTTTGCTCTAAGATTATTAATCTTTTAGAAACACAGACTAATAATTATGTGCATTAAGTAACTTTTCCCCCCTCTGAGGCCCTTTCCTTCACAAAGTACTCATTCCTAAGTACAGGGCCTATAGTCTGACTCCATCGCACCCTCTGCACTATACAGCAAACTTAAGCAGCACAGGTCCATTCAGATGCCTGGAGAGGACAAAAAGAAAGCGATTAAAAATGATATGCTAACTTAAGATATTATCAACATCTCATTTAAAAGTTTTACCTCTTAAATGCAAATCAAAAATGAGGTGAAAACTGTGAATTCAAAATATAATTTTTAGCGGTTTTTGTTAATGTTGGCTTGTTGGCTGTATCTCCGAACAGGACTTTTTCAACCAGCACTGCAGCTGTGGAGCCGCCAGCCTGAGCTTCCAACAAGTTCAGAAGAGACACTCCAGAAGTGAGTGTTTGTCACCCAGTGGAACCCTCTCCGACCTGTCCACCATCCCTGAGGTCACCCAGCACCCTCTCATACCAACCAGAAGAGGTAACACAGATTCGTTATTTTGCTCTAACAAACCACCTTCAGGGTGAGGAATGTGATATTTGTCTCCCCTGTACAGTCTGTGAGGAATATTAGTAGCACTTGATGGCCCAGACATTATTGACCAAAGAGGTTGAGAGACATGAGCAGTGAGATGATCAAATTGTAAACAAACCTCTATGGTTAGTCAAATTAATTTGAAAGCTGACATAAAGGTAAAGGGTGAAACACATGTCATCTAACGGTGAATTTTTCTCCTGGTTCTGAATGACCCCACTCTGCAAACTGCAAAAATACCTCCCCCATCCCACCGCTGTGTGAACGTTGCTCAAACATTCTGTTCCTTTTGTCATCTTGATGCGATTAAGTGTACAAATAGAGATAATGACAGTCTTTCCCCAAAGTCATTTGTGGTATTGCATGCAGTAGTTCACACAAAAAGAAACAGGGGGAGCGCTCCCTCTTTCACGTTGGGTCACTCTATGCGTACAGGGGTGACTGTTGGATTGTCCGTTTTGGGAATTGTCTGACGCAACTCTTCTGAAATCCTCCTCAGAGAAAGGAAGATCACTGCTAGTCGATCTGACGAGCACTCAGCATTTACCACAGTTGCGTGTATGGAGTTTAACTTCGTAACAGAAAACTTAACACAAGCAGTGGTAAGAGCTGCAGAGATGAATGTGAGGGTGGAAGTGTAGTGAGAGCAGTTTGATCGGATAGGTGAACGCACACTGGGGTTCTAGGCCTATGTCAGCCTAGAGAGATACAGTAACATCACAGTCATAGATTGTGTTTCTCTGAGACACACAGTCTTGTTTGCTCTGAGTCTATGATATGCAGCTGAATGCCCTGGAGGTCAGTGAAACTAACCCTTAATTAATATTTAGTGTTTAATTACTAGTAGGATCAGCAGTTAATAACCTGCTCCAGTGGGATGTGTCAACAAATACGCACACGCACAACCACATATTCCTTTCAGTGTGACACACTGTTGAAATGGATCTAACAAGCAATGTCATTTAAAAAAGCTTCAGCAGTGCTAGAGTTTCACATCCTGACCCTTGAGCGACCTCACATGTTTTTCTGCCTCAGTGTTTACCTTGTCATCAGACCCACGCTCCAGGTGATGTTGGTCATTTCGGGAACACAGCCATCTCCCCCACCAAATGTTATCATTACAGTTGTGTTTTTCGGAGCTGCCTGAGAAAGCGGTGGTGAGCGACAGCTCGGCAGTCCCGCAGGGAAGATGAAATTATGACTCGAGCGAGACCCTGACGGAATTCCTGGCATCCTGACGGGAACACACGATGTCCCATGGACTCTGGAATGCCTCGGTTCTTCCTCTGATGGACAGGAAACGGGATCTGGAGGAGAGGCTTATACGTAAGGGGAGAAGGGGGGGTCCCTGACTGGGTTCCTAAAAGTAGAGAGTTGTTCTTTGTCTTTGGTTAAGTGTTGAGCTTCATTGTCATATACCATCCTCAGATGGTTTGGGACTGTTTCCACAGAAACAAAAGGATACATTGTTGAGTGAGAGAAAGTGAAAGAGAGAAGATGGTTTCTGTTTGGTTTGTGGAACTGGAGGGTTAAGGTTAGGGTTGGATTGAAATTGTGGATTTTTGTATTAAAAGGTGGAAAAGGCAGTTCATGGAGGATCATTCCAAGTTTGTATTGTGTATATGTTGATACACCAACAACATGGTGCCAGGAGCAGCAGGAACTGAGTCCATGTTATAGAAGCGGTGGTGGTGTTTACATGTTAATGGGAGAAGTGGGAGTGGAATGAACAGAAACAAAAAAACAGGCCTGTGCTGATTTCTATCACAGCCTGTCATAACAGCTATCACTCCCCCCTCAGCAGGCCTCTAGCACATGGACACTTCACCTCACAAACGTGCAACATACAGCTTTGAACACTGTAATTAAGTCACAGTGACCATTTACAGTGTGCACATGCCTTGCCCCTGTTTGACTGAAACTGGCTTTTATTGTGATGTTCGTAGACTGAACTGGGTCAAGCCTTTCTGGTATGCAGGTTTGGAAATCAGGGCTTCATCAAACTTAGCAAACAGCTGCTTTCAGTGAAAAAAGCTAAGACTTGTTGATCACAGACCCCACCCTAAAGCATTTACATGTACCAATAGGAAAAGCAAAGATGTGAATCATGAAATTAATGGGAATAAAAACACAACATATTTATTGTAGCCGGGAACATCTCACCCTTTGCTGTAAAGAAATGTACAGCCCTGATAAAGTAATGTTTAGGTATTAATTAATTAATTTTACAGCAAATATGGTTGAGGAAATAAGGATATACACAATATTGGTAATAGAATAATAAGGTTGGTTGGCAAATATGTTGGTGTTCAGAACTCATCATGATGAGGATACAAAGCCAGTTTGACATTTGAAAATTTTAGCAAAACAAAAAAAGGCAATTAAAGTTAAAAGTCATCGAGTGTTTCCCTCAGTGCAAATATAAAAACAGTACAAAGTTCATTCCTAAGGGCGTCTGGTAGACGCGCGTCTCTCAGAAGCAGTTGACTGCACGACCAAATAACTAAAAGGAATCAACTGCATCACCCGAGAAAACTCTCCCACGCACACATTGTTAACGCTCCACGTTTGCGATTTGTGTTTCAGACTTGAGGAGTGAGGGTTTGACACCCGTCCCGCTCTGGAGGAGAAGCTTGAACCGAAGGAGTTACACTGAGGGGGAGGTACGCTTCCTCGGGGACAGCACGGAAGGGCTCTCCATCCCCCAGCGCAGGGTGAGTCATGTGCACATGTTATAGGCCCACTGCAACAAGGAAATTCATTCTATCAGTGGGTAATCCATGTTTTTCCAATACAAAGGACCTGTTCATGAAGACACATGAGGCCAAGTACTGTCAGTATTAAGGAACCTGCACTAATAAAGTCAGCATTTAATGACTGTCTTTCTTTGAAAAATAATGTCTTTAAGAACTGATTGCGATGCTATCAAGGGATGCCTTAATTTAAGAGATTATTATCCACTAGAATGGCGGGGGGGATCTAAGATTATGCAATCATCCCCAATCATGCAACAAACCAGAGTGAGCATCTTGTAAGCAAGCCATCTTCTGCTCCCTTTGAAAGCCAGCTGCACTTGCACATTGTCAGATCGTTGGAGGAATTCTTCTCTGCAGAGGAAATGGTTTTACTTTGTACATGAGCAGACCATCTGTGTGTGTTACCATGTGTTGTCCACCTGCCTGTGCAGGTGCATGTTACTGTCTTGGTGACATAAACAACACATCCACTTCAGAGTTCCAGTTTTTGTTGGTCATTCACATAATTCCTCTGCTTTCCCTCGCTTGAAAATATCAGTGTGCCTGACCACACCTCATACCAGTGCATTTGCTATTTAAACAACATGAGCACTGGATGGGAAAAGGACAAATTAGTTGGTCTGAAAGCAAAGATATTTGCATCCTGCTTGGTGCCTCTTTGTGTCGGGTGCAAGATAAAGTTTCCCAACATCCACATCCTCTGTTTACTGTGTGCATGGCACGCTCACTGATGAAACATGATGAATGAAGTACTTTATTGGGGTGTGGAGCGGTGATTCTCCTTCAGCGTTGGCCTCAGCTGTGGGAACCGACAGTAACCCAAGTAGCAGGAAGGAGATTGCTGCTCCAAACACAACACCTCTTGTTTTTAGCTTGCTTGTTTGATTCTTTCCAAACTTTAGATGAATACATTTTAAGTTCATGTCCCATTACCAGCTTCTTCCAAAGCCTTCAATTTCCTCATAGTCTTCATTCGTGAATAAAGTTGTTGGTGCAGTTTTCGTTGTAGAACTTTGCTATTGAACTTCACTTATTAACAATTGTTAACAAGAACAAACAGACAAGATCTCAATATCCCTTTATGTATGAAATAGTTTGAGCTTTACAGCACTTGTGGGAATCCCAAGGACCCTATGTTTAATTTTGATGTCTGTTTTTTGTCTATTTGCTGGAACTCTTCTCTCAACAGTACCAGAGGATAGACTAACACTGTTCCTCTAGCACATTAGTCTGACCCTCATCATCAATTCCAGATTCCTCAGCGCTGTGGTTGTCTCTTTCAGACAGCACTAAAGGAAATCTGTAGAGCTTCTTATCAGTAGACGTCTCACATTAAGGGCAAAGCATCAAGGGTAGTACTCAAAGTTAAAACTACTTGAAATGATTTTTCTAAAAGTGAAAACACTACATAGAAAACCTCAGTATATTAATCTAATAGACCTGTCAATGTTAAGGGCCTCAGAGCCCTGACACACCAAGACGTTGGCCTTCAAGTGCTGACAGATGTCGATTTTCAATGCGCTATTGGCTTTGGAGAGCTGTTGGCTGTTCAGCCTCATAGAGCACTCTAGTATTTTTCTTCTCAAGATTTTACAGCTGCTTTTCTTTTTTTCTTCTTTTCTTCTACAAGCAAAATACCAACCTCCTGCCCTCAGATCTAATGAGAAAAAAAAAATCTTGAGCTCTCATATAAAGGTTTCTACCTCTATGTCTTTGGTTGCAGCTGAGTGACAACTACACCTGGGGCCGAGTCAAAGACCTGGTGAGGAAAACTAAGCTAAGGAACCAGAGCAGGCTGGGACTGACCTCCGCCTCACTGAAGATGTCCTGCCCACAACTCTACAGGTGAGGAGCTCCGCACATTCCAACTTTGAGCCCATACTCTCTGTAAACTTGATCATCTCCATAAGACTTTTTTTCTGGTGTTTTAGTATTTTTCCTCACTTACCTACTTTATGCAATTTTATTGTTATTCTATAGAAATAGAAGATTACCTGTCATGTGTTTTAAGTTTTAAGTTTATATTAGGGAACACATATCAACCATTAACTAGTTTCTTATTAGCATGGATATTAGAGACATATTGGCTCTTTATTAGTCATTATAAAGCACTTATTAATGCCTTATTCTTAATGACCTTATTCTACAACTACTCCATTGATTAACACTTTTCCCTTAATAACCTCCTAGTTACTGCTTATTGATGGTAAGTAAGGAAGTTGTTGTACATGAATTACAGTCAAGTACTTTACTATGTTCACTTTGTGTGTTGCCTAATATAAAGTGTTACCGAAATTACAACTAAAGTTTTTCCTGGTTTGGTTGAAGCCACTTCCAGTGAAGGGAAATCTTAATGCTATCAAATAATATTTTGAACAACAGCATTCTTGCAGCTTTGCGGTATTTGCTGTAGCACTCTATATCTTTGTGCTGCCAGATACTAAATATTACTTACCAGGGACTGTGGGGTCATTTCTTTGGTCACCATTGAAAAATTAAAAATCTAACCATCCTAAAAGCTGGAAAACAATGTGCTCACATTCTATTACTTCTTGCATCATATACATTATTTTTGCAGTTGCATTATTGGCAGCATGTTTTATTATAACTATTTTAAATACTGTCTTTCTTTATATTCTCAGCTTTGTATACAAAGGTTCTGTCTTCTCTCCGTTTTATGCTGCCTCTTCCAGGTCATTGTTTTGGTCTCCTGCCTTTCAAATCCCTCTCTCATTCCGTTGAATTTGAATTATTTGCTCAATATGTGAAATAATATCACTGAGGAAGGACACACCTCACTGATAAAGATAGTCATTCCAATTCTGGATCCAATTACTTGTACTTTTCAGTGCATACCATAATATTGGGACAGCTGTGAGCCAAAGAAAATATATGGCTCTAGAGGCTTATTTAGAATCACATGGATTTAGTACTCAGTCAAACTGTATTTTAAAATTTTTGCTCAGTGAGAGTTTTCCAGACAATACATTACTGTATCAACAGAAAAGAATCACACAAAATACAGACACACATATTCTCATTATTCAAAAAGTCTGGTAAAATAAAAGAAGAGGGTTAATCCTTCATCCTGCTTTCTCTGTCCTTTTATTCAAAAATGTATGAAATGTTGAGAAATGCAAGTCCGTGATAAATCCCAAACTTTAGTGTCCTTTGTTTTTTTCTGCTGCTTTCTCGTCCTTTTTGGGTTGGAATGGCATCAGCGAAAAGAAGTTGGGCTCTGTCCCTCCGTGTGTTGGACGAAACCTAAAAAAGAAGAGAAGGAATGCGAGTCATTTAGCTGCAGTGAATTAAAGCCAGCATGAGGGGGAAAGTTGGTGACAGCTTACGTGACTTTTGGGGCAAGTCACAGACGTGTGACAGGTTCCTGGAAGATGGAGATAAAAAGGAGTTCTTTGCGTCAGCCTGAGAGAGCGGTCAGTGCGGATTTACTTTATGTGAGAGGTTGTACAGTGGAGGAATTTGATGGGAGCTGGAGGACCGCTGGCCCTTCAGCCTCTCCCTGCGTCTTGACCGGGATTTGGCACCGGCCCAGAAGGACTGAGCGAGAGGAGGGTAGGGGGTTGCAGAGTCAGGCCTGAGGTATGCCTGGAGGAGTGGGAGAGTTCCCCTGTGGATTTAAGCTCAGGCCTGGCGAGAGATATGGCCGCTGTCCAGGATTCATTAAAAACAACAGCACCCTCCTGCTGAGACATGCATGCCGCCCTGCTGCGGGGCTCCTGACTATGTGGGAATATTGGACGATAAATGTTTTCTCATGGACGAGCTGCTGTGATGCAAACTAAGGGAGCGTATCAGATGTCGACCATAAATACTCATAAATACTCCCATTAATTACTGTCTCCTCTTCTATACAGGCCTGATCTGGGACCAGTAGAACCTGCCAGCAGAAACAGGAACTCCATGATTGTCTTGGGCCACCAGAGCAAAATGGACTTCCCATGGCTACAATAAATATCCAGGTAGTGCAGATAACTGTTTATCTTCCCTCAGCCACGCTACACATAAAGCTCTATATGAAGAATCAGGTACAACCTGGGAAAATAACCAGTTTGCAAGAATGAACAAACCTGTTCAAGGGGAAAATATGCATAGGTCCGGGTCAAAATCTGATAAATAAGTTCCGCAAATGTTAAGTCTCATGTCATCATTTCCAACTTTCTACCAGAACACAACCATCAAGCTGTGTCCAAACCACCAGTAATATATATATATATATATATATATATATATATACAGGGGGGAGAGAGGGACTTGCTGAATGCCGCCATCTCATATGAGGCAGCCTCCCTGAGGTGAATCTCCCTAATGACCAAACTCCCATCAGGCTCTTGCAGGCTAGGCCTGCTGAGTGTCCTCACAGTATATAATATATAATAAGGGTCCTCACAGTATATAATGAATCCATACTGAACTTCCAAGCACTGTTGTTAGTATCCTGATTTCGCTGATAACTATCTGAACCCCACAGGACATAGACTGGTGTAATTTAGTGTCCATGCATCCGCTGGAGTCAGCACTTCTGTGAACATGACCCTCCGTCTTTGTCTCCTCCTCAGATCAGATTAAGACGGTCTCACGTGGGGAAGTGACGCAGAGGTGGTTCAAGAGTGGAAGAGAAAAAGGCAGGAAGAGGAAAGACGGATGAAACTGAGGGAATTAAAAGAGACGACTCTTGTACGAGGGATGTATGAGGATTGTTTGCTGCTTGTAAAGGAGAATGAGATGAGAGTGAGCCTACTGTGCATTTTGAATTGTACATCTACACTGTGACATACTGTAAATGAACTGCATTATATTGTAATATATATTGTCTGTTAATACTATTTACACCAGTGTAGGTTCCCATTCAGACGCTGCAAAATCTGTAATAATCCACCTAATGTGAAGCATACACATATTTCATTTTTTTATATTTCGACTCTTCATCTTGTAAGATGTTGTTATATGTGTATGTGATGTTGTATAACTGGCGTGCATGCAGAGCTAACACGTGCAGTGTGTATGGACCGTATGAAACATACATCATGTTAACATATGGGCTGAAGATAGCATGTCGGACAGAGGGCACAGCCTCTCCACAGGCTGCCGTCTTGACTTGTGTAACATTTTAAACACCAAATACTGTGACTGCACAGCAGAGAGTTCTGCTTCATTTCACTAGAACTCTGATAAACAGCAGCTTGGCCTAACCCCTGTTATTCTTCATTTTCAGCCCATAAACTCTTACGATAGAAGGTTTTATGTTTCTTGACGTGCAGAGCTTGTCTTGGACACCTGAAGCACTGCGATTTATCCTCTTTCCCAGTGTTGCTTTATTGTCGTCTTTCTCTAGACAAGATGGAGCTATGGTGACAGAAAAGGCTGAGGGCGTTTAAATAATACTTTATGATTTCACATAACTTCATTAATACTAAGGCCTCTGACATCCCAGGATTAATGATAATCCAACAACAAAGGCAACTCTGATGCAGTGATTGGCCGGGTATTTGCAGAGGGGTTTCCATTAGACTTTGAAGTTTGAACGTTTTCTCTCAAGCTGTTCACTTTTCATGTGAACGACCAGGAGCAACATCGTGAATGCTTTTGGGGGGGGGGACTAAACCTGAGTGTTGTTCCCCAACGTTTGTTGGATTTGTCACATCAATGGGGGCAATGAACTCCCGACCTAAGAATACAAAATTATTGAGATCAGTGCAAACAACACTAGAGAACAAGGTCTATATGTACAAATATAAGATTAAATGTGTGTTAAAATTTGACTTTTTTGTGCAAATTTAAGCATTGGATTATTTTTTGCCAGTGACTCTGACACTTGCGTCATTATCAGAAAAGAATTAGAACATTTATATTGTGTTGCTACGGTAGTATTATTATTGCCATAACACAGATGGATACGACATTGTTATATTTACTAAAAGTATTTACTGTATACTGTACTATAATTCAGTAAAAAAAGGGATGTGTGTTAATTTTTTTAAACTGTTTGTGTGTAAATTATGATGCTGATGTTTATCTGCAGGACGTCAGACAACTGTATATGTTTTATATGTATGGCATCAATATTAAAATTTATTTTTCAAAATAAAGTTAAATCTAAAGAACCTACCTATGTGTGATATGATTTTGCACACAGATTTCGCACCAGCAGCACATGGAGTAATTATACTAATAATGTAATTAATAGTTAATAAGTAACTTCAGATCACACGTGTATAGCTTAAAGGTCCAGTGTGTAAGATTTAGGTCTAAGGGAACTATTGGCAGAAAGTTAATGTAGAATAATTCTCATGATGTTTTAACTGGTTTGTTTCATCTAAATTGTATGAATTGTAGTTTTCTTTACCCCAGAAAAGGCCCTTTATATTTAAATACTTTATATTTACATCGAGGGGACCCTCTCTACGGAGGCCGCCATGTTTTTTTACATTAGTCCAGACTGGACAAACTAAACACCTTTTGAGTTTATTTGACAGTTAAAGGCTACCACAGGTTCTTTTTCATGTTTGGAAGGAGGGTGAGGTGAGGGGTGTTCAGCTGCAACATGCAACTTCAACACTAGATATCACTAAATTCTACACACTTTACATTTAAAAGAAGACAAAAAATTGATAGAAACCTAATAACATTAAAATTAAGCAGTATTTTGGAGTATTAGATGAAGAACAATAATATTGACATGGCTTGATTAGGTAACTAATCAAAAGGCACTAGACGGAGCAGTGATGCTGTTATAAAATCACTGTTTCTTATCATGAGCCCTGTAGCTATGCATGAGCCAACCCACTAAGACCTGTGCTTTTCCTGCTATTCCAAACTAAAGCCCTGTTTGTGTCAGTTTTCATGACTCACTCATAACATTTGTTCCTTATTCATACCACATGTTACATTTAATTGTTGCTGAACGGTTGTGCGCTTAAGTTATATTAACAGTTGGTCTTCAGTGGCCTCGTGTGGCCACAGTGAGTAACTACAACCACAGAGGGTGGACTGAGCCTCCTTGAGGAAACTGGTGCTGAAGGTTCGAGCTGTCCTGACAGTTTAAGGAGCAGTGGGGGGTGTGGCAGGCAGTGCACATTGAGTGCCTTGCTCAAGGTCAATGGAAGTTAGTATGTATTCAACAAGTACTGCTAGTGAAACAGTAAAGGCCCCATAATAGCTTAATGGTGAGAGATTCCTTTTCATCTCTGATCAGAAGAAGTGAGCAGGAAATAATAATTTGGCGTTGGTTGATGCAGAAACATAGATGTGAAAAAGACTCTGAACCACAGCAGTGATGTGCCAAATCCCTGCACTGTACTTTTTCTTTTTGCTGAAAGATTCTGAAGTTCAGCCTCTTCTGCTGCAACCTGCACATCTATTAATCCACTGATGAATCCACTGTGAACCTCTGTGCCTACATCTGTACTGGCACCAGGCTGACATCTTGTGTTGGCTGTCGGTAATGCTTCCTCTCCGTAAATATCCTGTCCCCAACTGCCTGTATCTGATTGGTCTTTAATCTGATATTTCAGCAACACATGTTGTCTGATGCACAGCCTCTGTTTCACTATGGTACAAAGTTTATGCCTCTTAATTAATTTCACATGCTGGTTGGTGCGATATGAAAAAGCTGTTGCCCTCTCCATATTTATGCAACTGGAACTCAAATACAACTTATTTGAACTGTTGAATGTAGAGCAGCCATCAGACACATGAGAATCTGAAGAAGAAATTAAGTGAAGAAATCTGTTACTTTAGTCCAATATAACCATAATCACTGGGGAGTGGTCTGCTGGTGGTGCACAGTCCAAATATGGAGAGCAGCTTTTAGTCATTTGCAGCACAGCACTGGAACCAGCTGCCTGATGATCTTCGGAATGCTCCATCCTCTGCAATTTTTAAAACCAGGTTGAAAACGTTTTTAATTCACTTTAGCGCAGCTATTTTACCAGCTCATACCATTATTGCATAAGGTATATATGCAATAATGCAATCGGGGACAAATGAGGCTTAGTGTTTTTAGCTGTCCTTTCAGATTATAAATAGTTTTCTTTAAATTTTGTCTCTATGTTGTTTTTTGATGTCTGTAAAGCACCTTGAATCTACCTCTGTGGATGAAATGTGCTTTTTAAATTAAATGACCTTGCCTTCCTTTTTAAACATATTTTAGTTAGTTAAAGTTAAATAGTAAGTTTATATTTGACTCAAACTTGGACCATCAGCTAAATGGACAGTTACTTGTAAATTTTAAGTATCTAAGAGCCAGTTAACAATTTGCCCAAGATAAAGCAGAAAAGGGATCTCAAAGCTCCCTTTTTAAAATCTCATTGCTGATCATTGTTATTACTGTATGAAATTGTTATTTCTTTACAGATTATTCTTCTTATAATGCCTATTCTACAGTTTAATATTGTGTGACCCTATTTAGTATCAATTCAAAATTAAAGATAATAATGATAACTAAGGAAAAAAACCTATACATATAAAATCAGATTATGATAACATTGGATTCTTTTGATGTTTTATTGATTCTCCTGGTGAATCACTCTTTTTGTCCACCAGCTGCTTCTGTGAATTCAGGATATGACTTCAGCTTCAACAGCTCTTTATGTGGAACAGTGATGGAGTGTTGTTAGATTTCTCAATGCCAAACCTCCCTCAGTACTGTGGGAGTAACAAATATCCCAACAACCCAACAAACACTCTGAGAAATCTGTGGCAGAAATCCAACATTTCTTTCAATCTGGGAGGAAGACAATGAGCAGACTGTTCGTGAGAATCCTGATCCAGGGGAGTAACATTCAAACACGATAAACCCAGAACATTCAGATCTGACCCCAGTGATCATCTCTGAACAGACACAAAGGTTACCCCCACCCCCACCAATATATAAACTAACACATGACTGTAGGTCCATACTTGTTCTGTAGTGTGAAGTGAAGACACTTTGCCTACTAACCTGATGAAATAGACTCAGATAAGTCAATAGTGACACACACACACTTTACCAAGTGTTTAGTTTTAGGTGAACACTAGCACCTATACCACACATTGAGAGGAAGTTAAAAAGCTATTCAGTGATGTAAATAATTAATAATTGTTTTCAAGTGAAGACCGTGACTCTCAATAGACTGCCATTCATTTTCTAGAAATACTAATCCTAAACCTCAGCCTAACCTTAACCTAACCCCGACCTTAACCACTGACCCTAAAAGCAGCTGTTACCCAAGTGGACACTCTGTCCCCAAAGCCTAAAATTTCTCTGAATTTGCTTTAAATCTTACCTCGCAAACCCACCGCAGCTTCAGGAACCACATCCACTGCGGTTGCTCATATTTAAAATGATCAGTGTCCTCAGAAGTCTTTGTCCCAGCCGGACAGCTCGTCAGGAGGCTCCTCTGTGTCAGGAGGAAACATGTCAAAGTGACTGTGATCCATCGGCCCCTTTACCTGCAGAAACAAGGAAAATCACCATGAAATCACATCACGTCCACAAGTACAATGGCATTTACGGTGGGGCCAATATAGACACATGACTGTTTGATATGATAAACCTGGATTCATGATTCAACACAACATAGACACTGTATATTCAAAAGATTATTCAATTAGTTACTTTCATTACCCCTTAACTTCAACACAATCCAGTGAAACCTGACTCGTACTCATAAACTACATTTAAGAGCTGCTGTTGAGGCGTGACTTCTTTTTAAAAAACCTCCAGAAAGAACCCAATCTCTGAGGTTACGGCTTTAAAAACATTTTTTAATCACATGTTAGAAATAAACTTAATTGAAATACTAAGTACAACACAATGTGTTTGACCACTATAAACAGATGTGGCTATAAATCAAATAATAATAGATCAAAATTGTGTGGGATTATGTTTAACTGCTCCCTAACATTTATGTCAGAAAAAAATGTGCTTACTTATTTTATCAGATTATAAGAAAAGTCTCATTCATGGCAACCCATACTCTAGTTCTGTCAAATCACCTTTTTAACTTGTATTGAAATAATGTCAGACCTTCAACAGATACTCTCCAGTTTTTTAAATCACTTAAGTCACTAATAATTCACTGATCAGCATATTCTCAATGGAGCCGTTAGAAGCACATTGTCACACAAGCGTGTATTTTATTTCACTGAAATGTTTTGACTACAAACATGATTGTCTGTGCTCGTTCAGTGCTGATCGTCTCACCTCTCTCCTCAGTGGAGACGGCAGCTTGCGGCGCCTCAACCCCTCCCAGTTGAAGCCCCGGAACCACCTAGAAAAAAATATATAGAAATCTCATGGATGGATTCATTTGAAACTACTTCTCCAATTATTATGCTCTTAACCATAACTTTTAACTTTTTGTTGGGTTATGGAGGAACACCAGGTCTCTGTGCTGGCACATGATTCCAACACTTTTGATCTAGAGTTACCGTTTCAGGGGGAGGGAGGGAGTCATTGTCTACATGAATTCAGTTTGAAGTAGCTTTGAATGTTGCCTCATAGCATCATGGTTAACACAGACTGCTGACTGCGAAATTAGCAGGTCCAGCCTTTCTCCTAATGACAGATTGTCTTGGTCCCACTGAAAGTTAATAATCAGATATGAGTCCCATTTCCCTCGTAAGATAATGACAACAAAGAGTCTGAGTAATTTAGGAAATGTGTGACAGGGCTGGATCCCTCTCCATCAAAGTCATGAACTACAACTATTGACTTCACCACACATACCCAGCCTCCTCCTCTCTAGTGCTGCATCATCGTTTGTAAGCCCCTCTCTTCCACCAATTACAGTTACAATGTAGCTTGTCCATCTCACCATGGCTGCCATTCTAACGTACAGCGAGTTACCACTCTGACTCACTCAATACATGTCTGTCACGACTGAGTTATGTCATCAATCATCCCATCAGGTGTAATATGGCACTGTAGCAGTGGGGTTTGTACAGCAGGTCCTCAAACCTCTGTGTTGAGGTCTGCCAGTTGCTTTGTCAGTCCATAAATTGACTCTCTGAGTCCACACAATGCCTTAATGACTCTTAATTGACTGTAGGTGTGAATGTGATTTGTTGCTGGTGTCCTGTCCAGGGTGTACACCACCTCTTACCTAAAGTC